TGTATTCAAAATCATAGAGACAGAAAGTAGAATGGTGTTTTCCAGAGACTTGGGGGAGGAGGTATGCGGAGTTAATGTTTAATGGGTAGATGTTCAGTTTTTCAAGATGAAGAATTCTGGAGACAGATGGTGGTGGTGGTTGCACAGCAGTGTGAATGTACTTAGTACCTCTGAACTGTACACTTAAAAATGGTTATGATAGAAATTTTATTCACAATAAGAAAAGGGGAACAACAAAACTGAAGCATTAAGTTAGTCACAATTTTGGAAAATAGAAAAATTTCAATGTGGTACCAATCATTCATAAGTCTACCCCTTGTTCAGTGTCTAGGAAGTAGCACCATTAAATGTGTTGCCAGTTGCAATGTCACTAATCTCTAGAAGTTATGAAATATTTTGTAAAATAAAACAATTGACTATAAAATCCTTCAGAGTAAAGATAGTTACTTGCACATATAAAAATAATTTATTGACAAGATGACCAATAACAACGAAATTATAGTGTAAATTTTCAAAAGTGTCTTGGGATACATGTCCTGGGACAAAGGGTGATTCTGCTGTGCTCCAAACATGCTCTGGGCACCCACCCCTCCTGCCTACAAGGAAGTGGTAACATGACAGACAACTGGACAGTCCCAGAACACTCCGTGTTGCTTGCCTGTAAAGAAGAAGACTATCTTCAAAGATAACAGTGAATTTTATGGGGAAAATAAGATGCCAGACTGAATGACTGATTTTAAAATATAAGCCAACTGAATGTAAATTTGGGTGAATTACTGTGGCACGATGTAACGAGAAACCTGAGGACACTAGATGAAACAGGCTCCCTCTCTCCTGTTCTGACAGACAGGAGTGCACTGTGTGTGAAACCTTGTTTTCTCTCCAGAAAATGCAGGTCTCCCCACTGCACCCTTTGCTTCTTCCATTGGAAGCCATGGTGTGACATTACGATGGAAGGCTGCCAACGTCTCTGGAGTAAAGTACATCATTCAGTGGAAATATGCACGGCTTCCTGGAAGCTGGACATACACTGAGGTAGAGAACCTTCCTGGGTATCTAAACACAGACTGCCAATTCACTACATACAATTATAGGCATAGAGACATTCTAATAGAGAAAATTCAAACATAAAATGAGTGGTCAGATCAGATGAACTTTAATCTCTGCCACTCTGTAATACATTGATGCTAAAACCTTTATTTTTGAGGACACTGTATTATTGGACATATGTACTGTTCCCTCAGTGCAGTATCCCATAACCAAGCTCTCATACCATTGAGCACTATCTTCCCATCTCACCTAAAATGATTCCAACTAGGATGGAGGGCAGGAAGGTCACCCAAAACTGTCACTTTTAGGAAAACATGGGCAAGGTCAGAGAAAAATAATCCCCAAACAGCAAGTATATCACCATAGAAAATTAAAATTAAGTCTTGAGGTAAATGCCAAGTTATTGAATTCATAATTTTTTAATTTTGAAGGAAAGCCTTTCTGTGTGATTTGTGCAGACTGGTGTCTGGACCGCTCAGCCTTAAGCTCCAGGGCCCTGCTACACCTGAGGTGGCCAGTGCTGGATCACCCTCCATCCAAAAGATCTTCGAACTGCCCTGTGCTCTTTAGGCACACTGTACGGTGGTGATTCTGTAAATGCTGGTTTTTGGTCTCTTGTGGTTGTAGGCCGTGTCCAAGCTCTCATATGTGGTAGAGCCCCTGCATCCTTTCACGGAATATAATTTTCGAGTGGTCTGGATCTTCACAGCTCAGCTGCAACTGCATTCTTCCCCAGGTCCCAGTTACAGGACTCATCCCTATGGAGGTATGGTGTGCACGTATTGCTTATGAAATAGGGAAATTGTTCCAAACTTTGGCTTAGTTGGTTTTTATTTTAAATAATAAAATGAACCTAATTCTTTATTAGTTGATCCATTCAACAATTGAGTACCTATCTGTGCCAAATACTGTTCTTGGGGCTGACTTTGCCTCTGTGAGCAAAACAAAAACCCCTGCTCCTATGGAACTCACATTTTGGTCAGGGAGAAATACTCTAAGTAGTAAACATAATAAATAAGGAACATATATTGTTCTTGGGAAGGTGCTGTGTGCTTGGCAAGAGGAACATTTTGAGCAGGGGGCTTGGAAATGGGGAGTCAGAGGGAAGGAGAGGCAGGCTGCAGTATTAAGTAAGGTAGTCAGAATGAGCCTAAAAAGCAGAGAAGTAACTGCTTCACATCCTCCTTCAAAAGTTAATTTGGTAACTGTGTAGGACTTATTGAGGGAGTGACAGAGGCTGGATAGGACAGAGATAGAGAGACCAGCTAGGAGGTTATTATAATCTTTTACCATTTTATCAGACTTTTAAAAAAGTACTTAGATTGGAGCTTACTCTGATTTCTTCTTTTGAAGGTGTGACTCACACACCAGGAAAAGGACTCAAGCTGAGAGCATTTTCAGGAGGAGAATGCCTGGGACAGGCAGTGGAGGAGGCTTGTCTGGTGCCCTCAACCTCAGAGCTAGTTGCATGGACTTAGGACTTACTCCAGGCCAGATGTTAGCTGTCCCCACCCCTCAGTTCTGGGGACTCGCTGTGCGCAGAGACCCTCGGATGGAATGGGGCCCTGGACCTGAGCACAGCTGGAGAGCTGGTGAAGCTGGTTGAGGCATTTCCCTCTGTCCTGCTCAGTTCCCTCTTACTGCTTATCAGATTTTAGTGTATGTGTGGCCACCTCTGCTGATTATTTCCTGAGTATCCTTAGAACCTCAGATCATGGCCCAGGGCCATGTTTGACATATTCCAATCAGAGAAGAATACATAGACCCTTCTGTTTTCAAAGCAATGCCTCCTGTACTCTACTGATGCTGGAACATTTTCCAGTGCTGGAGAGATACCATGGTCCATGGTTAGTGAAATAAAAATAATGAAGAAGATATTAGATTAAAAAAATTATTTCTGGACCTTTCTCCTGGATATGCAAGCCCACATATGCTGTGGGTGTCCCAGGTCTACCCTGGGTGTCCTTTCCATGGAGAGCACCTCATGCTCCAATTCTCTCTCACTTTTCTAGCCACATCAAAACTTATAAACATCCATTTTGTGTTCCATTACCTCATGGCCTTTTCTCTTTTAGATATGGGAAATATATGAGTTTAGATGGCATTATTGCCTTTTAAATGGGGCCTTTATGAAGATAATTTCTTACTCAAGTGGAGTAGTTATCAGGTGAGGAGCACCTTGCCTAACCAGAGCAGCCTTTCAGGGAGGACTTTTGTGGGGGAGATGTGGGCAATAATCACAGCTCACCATGTAGATGGAATCCAACTTGCTTGAAGTGGAGCAGTCATGTCCGAACATTGACCATAATGAGTTTGGTTTTTGATACCCTGATTCTAATTAGTGGGAGATGATTCCTACTTCTCTGTTCACCCAGGTGACTGAGTGCACGGAGCAGAGGAATGACACAAGGCTGTTTGTGTTTGCCAAAGATTAGTCTGAAGTGGGGAAGAGTTGTAGTTGAGAAAGGCTGAGGGATAGATTAAGAGGCCTTGTTCAAACTCATCCACTGTGACTACTGAACTGATTTCTCCCAATTCTCAGGAGTCAGGGATGAGGCAGAGCATTTGTCAAAAGCGTTCAGAGGGAGAAGTCTATTCAGAAACAAAATGACATCAAAGTACGCCTGTCTGTGGAAAGAGGAAATAAGAGAGTGTGGTTTCAGGGGTTGGAACATATGAAAAACAGACCTGGATGGAAGATAGGCTGTTAGGTCATTTGTTTTCCTTTGTTTTTTTGCCACTTCAAATCTTAATTAATCACTGCATGCTCCCGTCATCCTTCACAGGGGAAGACGTGCTACTAAAGCACAGTGACACTGGATCCCCAGGAACTTGGCAGCTGGGGGGAGGCAAGGTACAGTCTGGGTCTGCCCAGCTTTAGCCAATGAAAGCAAAGCAGACTGGTCTAATTCAGGCTTATCTGAACCCGATCTTCAGCTGGCACTGGTCAGGCCATGGCACTCCAGCCGGTGAGAAGGCCCAGGAATTACTTCTTTCAACTCATGTTAATTATTGACTCCCATTTTGTTACAGATTCTCTTGTCTTTCCTAACCTGGTTCTATCTCACGTTTCAACTCACTTATGTCTCTGGAAATTTTTAATGACTTTTTTTCTAGAATACTTACCCTATTGGAATGCTTCCACATTTAATTTTATCTCATAAATTAGAAGTGAGGAAAATAACATTCAAAAGAGTCCCTTAGAAAAGGAGCTAACCGGTATCATTTAGGAATCAAAAGTTTGCAGCTCATAGAATCTTACCACCTTCTCTCTATCACTTATTTAGAATATTAATAAAAAAGCTTCATTTATGCTAGGTTTTCAACAAACAAGATGTTTTTCCTATCCTATTTACATTTTTTCCATGTATATTTTTCTGTTTACTATGTCACCATTATCTCTTCCAGTTCCTGAAACTGCTCCTTTCATTAGAAATATCGAGAGCTCAAGTCCCGACACAGTGGAAGTCAGTTGGGATCCACCCCAATTCCCAGGTGGACCTATTTTGGGTTATAACTTAAGGCTAATCAGCAAAAATCAAAAATTAGATTCAGGGACACAGAGAACCAGTTTCCAGTTTTACTCCACTCTGCCGAACACCACCTACAGGTAAGAATTAAGTGGTGCAAGGAAAAGGTACCCACAACGGCTGCAGGCATGAGAATTACTTAAGAAATATGATTTAAAAATGGTTTAAATGTATTTTGAGAAATCCCAGTGTCTTTGTGTTGCTGGGATGAAGTTATTGTGGTTTTCCTCAAGTTTATATGTTAATTAGATTGCATCATCCTAAGCAAAGTCATTCTTAAGTGTTTCTATTATATTCAGAGGATATTTATAAATATGAGCTGATAAAGACATCATAAATACCATTTCTTCATTTAATCCAACAAGAAGAAAGTAGGGAGGTGATATTCTGTTAATGATATTTTTTATTAACCATCAGGAGGATTATTTTATTATTGTTAACTTTTCTGGCATTTACTAAGTCCTCTTTAAATTAGGGTGGGAATGGGGGTCATGTAGATAGCAGAGTTCAGCTTTTGACCTCTGTGACCCCGAACTGTTCTATGGGGAATGCAAACAAGGATGTGATTGATGGTCATTTTAGTGCTTGACAGGGCACTATGTGACCAAATACATTCATTGCCACATGTTACTTTAAGAAACATGGTTGCTTCTATTTTTATCTCACGTTCATGCCATGTAAAACACATCTCTTCAAATTGTTTTTGGAATAGGTTTTCTATTGCAGCAGTAAATGAAGCTGGTGAGGGGCTGGAAGCAGAATCTAGTATTACCACTTCATCCCCAGCAGGTATGGCCCAGAGGGGTTCCATCTGTTACATGGGAACTGAGGGTGTAGCAAGGGTGAGTTCAGATCTTGAAGGTATAAGGTCATCAGGTGGTTTCAAGACCCCAACTCTTCTGCCCAAACAGGCACTCACTGTTTTTTGGGTTCTTGGTAAGCTTTCAGTTTTAAGTGAATCCCCATATTTAACAAATGAAAGTAAATTGTTAAGCCAAAGGTTTTCACATTAGAATTTAGGAATTTAAAAATTAGAATGACAAAATTTAGGGATAAAAAAAAATGGCCTCAAGCAAACCCTTGGTTTCAGTTGAAATTGCTAGTGATTATGACTAACCTTTACATAGTAGGGGATATGAACAACCTTTCTGCCCTCACTGTATTATTTTATGTATCACCATTTAATATATATCATATATCTTTTTCTTCCAGTCTCCTTCAGGTTTTTAAATATGTCTGGATGTAATAATTTGCACTATAGCATTCTGAATATTCAATCTACCAAATTCTTTTTTGTTATTATTTTACAAGTGCCTTTTTTTTTGACTTTGGCAATTTAATAATTGCCTTGAGTGACTGAATAATTATGGCACAATGCTAATGTGAGCAAAATAAATGAACATGCTTTCCAAGGAACACCAGAAATATGTTGGGGAAACTAGTAAAGATCCACACAGAGATTCAGCATTCAGGAAGTCTGTTCTATTTTCACCAGAAACCCATTTGGTGACTTAATCTCCTCCTGCCCCAGTCTGCACATGCCTGTGCCAGTATGTACTCAATGTCATCTCTCACCAGCCTTCGGTGTTTTCTGCTGTTAGGAGACTCCAGGAAAGGAGAGGTATTTTTGTCATTCAAGAAGCATGTGCAAAGGGCGAGTGAAATATAGAGCAGGCTTAGGTTGTTACTGTGATCATTGCGTAACATTCATTAATTGCCCTGAAAGTTGCACAGTGTGTCAGCCTCCAGCTGAGCAGGGCACCAGGCAGAGCTCAGCAGGCCTCAAATCTCAGTCCTCCAGGGCTTTTCTCCTGCTCCAAGGAAAAGACAGTGGAAGACAAAATGGAGACAACCAATGACTCTCTGTATGTGTGTCACAACCCACTCTGGCCTGGGCTGCACCACCTCCACCAAGCAGTCAGGTTCTCACAACTAAGGATAAGGAACTGAGCTCCTTCCGGGGTGGGGCTGTTGAGAATGGTGATGCTTCATATGATGTTATTTTGGGGCATTTAGGGACATTAAGGGGCATATTCACATAAATCCTACATTTTTGGCCCTGTACTTCCTACCTCTACTCACTGAATCATGTGATTATACCACAGTTGAAATGCCCCAGTGCCTTCAGAGAAAATCTGGCCTGCTTCTTTCAAGTGCTAGCTTGTTTTGAAGGGTGTTATTAATCTTTTTTGTTTCAATGTGCATGTGGTTGGTCTATCTGTAAGTCATGATGTTGTTTTAGTTCAAGAAGAGGAAAAATGGCTCTTTTTATCCAGAAAAACTTCTCTAAGAAAGAGATCTTTAAAACATTTAGTAGACGAAGCACAGTGCCTTCAGTCAGATGCTATACACCATAATATTACAGGTAAGTATAATAGAAATGTGCCATAGTAAAAAGATTCAGGTTGACATCTATTTAACCTCTTTATTAAAAATTAAACAAATAAATTCTGTTTCTCAAGTTTTTAAAATGTGTTTATACATGTATCTTTTGGCTTTTCTAGGAATATCAGTTGATGTCCACCAGCAAGTTATTTATTTTTCTGAACTCTTATATGGGGTCAAGGAGGTTGCTAACATGTCTAATATGTCTGGTCTAAGAATTTTTTACAGAGGTTCAGGATTAATTTCTTCCATCTCCATAGACTGGCTTTATCAGAGAATGTATTTCATCATGGATGGACTGGTTAGTCTGAGAATTTAAAGTGAATAACGAGATATTGCTTATTCATGTGCATAATTAAGTAATTTTATAAGTACAGATAATTCTTTCTTTAATTCAATAAATACTCATTGAGTATTTATTATGTTTGAGACACTAGATTAGCAAAGAATCATAGATCTGTTCTATATGGGAGTCTAGACTTTACATAGTACTAGTCATGACCTCACATTAAATCATCTTTGTGAATTTTCAAATCCGTGAGTTTATACTACTGATAATTCATCATCCATAGAATAATGGTGGTACCTGTGTTATTATGAGGTAAAACTGCCAATCATGATCAAAATCAGCTGCAAACATTTTGAATTACATAATAACCAGGGGTAACTTTAGTAGGTTTCTGAAAATACAGTATTACCAAACCTTTGAGGAGACACAGTCTTGACATATTTCAAGTTTCCTTCCTTGAAAAGGACAGGCTTCTCTCAGTCACTATTGCTGGAAAACCATTAGCGTAGATACAGCTTAAATACTCAAAAAGGATGAATGCCTCCACAAGCCAGGAAATTAGGTGCTGAATTTCATTGATGCTGATAGGATATAAATTTAGGGTAAAGGACATAAAACTGACTTTTAAGGGCTTTTTTATGTTTTTGAAATGTACTCAGCACAATTCTAAGCACAGAACAGATACTCAAGAAATCATCATTGGCCAAATTGAATACAGACAGAAACGAATCCTCCTGATGTGTTTTTGACTCTCTAGGTATGTCTCTGTGATTTAGAGAACTGCTCAAACATTGAGGAAATTACTACTCCCTCAATTATTGCACCCTGAATAGTTGTGGCTGACTCATACAATGGGTAAGTTATTAGCCTTGTAAATATGAATTCTTGTCTGTTGGCAAGAACCTCTGGGAAACTTGCTTGCTAATGAAACATTATGGTGTGAGATGAGCCAATCTATGTATCTTATTTTGAATTTAATTAAATCCAGGCAAAGTTTTTATTCTGTAGAGCTACAAGGAAATTTTTCTTATACTTGATCCATAATTTCTCCAGTTTTAGTAGTTTTCTCTCTCTCCTTCTTAGTACAATGTACATATGTGGGAAAGACCTCTTTTCTGGGACTCAGAGACTTGGGTTCCAGTCTTGGATTCGTCACAATTTTATGGCAGGACTCATGGTCTCATTGCCTCTTCAGCGCTCTCCCCAGGAAGCCGTTCCTACCTCCATTTCTTCTTTCTGTTGCACTGTTTCTTTTGCTGAGCAATTCAATGCCAGTTCGTTTCTCTGGTCTGGTTCTCACACTTATCAAGAAGCTGGTTTATCGAGAATATTGCTGATAGTCACCTGAGGACATAGGACTTGATGGTTAATAACAAGTAAAAATTTTCCATTATAAAGAACTACTTTTCCCAAATAAAATGGACACATTTTTAGCTCAATTGTGCCACTGAATTGCAGTAGGACCTCAAGCAAGCAAATTCATGTCTGTGACCTTTGTTTTATCTATCCATATGGGCAAGTCACTAGTGCCCAGTTGGGTTATTCTGAGGGTGAAATGAATATTCTCTGAGAAAATATTTTGTGACCTCCAAATGCACATATGTGTGAAGGATAAAATGTAAGAAGCTGTTTGGGGGTTATAATTAAATATGACCAGATAATTGTAGGTTAATAACTAATAACTAAGGTCAGTGTTTGTAAGATTACACATTTTCTTTCCTGTAGGAATAAAGTTGCTTTTGTTTTGAATGGAAAAAATAGCCCATGTCAATCTTTATTCTCATAAATTGACCTTGAAAAAAAGACTTTGTTATAAATTTAAAATCAAGATTTTCTATTCATACATGTACCTAATTTACTAGAAATTATTTTATCTTAGGTTCAAATGTATTACTGAATTATAGAATATATTTTAAAAACCCTGTAATACAGGGCAAGTCCTTTGGACTCTCTGGATATTGTTTTCCTCATTTGTAAAAGTCCAAGATCCTATGAAATGCAACATTGCTGGCAATTTTACAAAATGACTCATTCTGAGGATAATGAACTTCACCCACTAAATCAAAATTCTTCAGTGGCTCCCTTCTCCTGACTGGTGGGTGGTTTCCCAGCTGTTTTACTCACATATTGGGTATTTCTTCATTATTTGTAAAATGGTAGCTCTGTTGCCCCACTCAATTGTAAATATTAAAAGGAAGCTTAGACCACTGCAATTGCAAAGTAGATGTGGCAAATATTCTTTGTTGCAAAAAAATAACTGTGTGGTTTGAAAAAATTGACATAAATATTTTTGCTTTCTTCCATTTCATCATTCACAATGCATGGGGAATTTATTGACAGGAATAGACTTAAGAATCTGTGCATTTGGAGAAAAGTGTTTTATAATGAATAACATGTTCAGCCATGTGGTTTTTATATAAAATGTTTTCCTTTAAGAGTTGGCTTCATTAGAAAAATCTTTAAAGACCCTTTATATTCTTAAATTCTATGATTCCTTAAAAAGGCACCTATAATAATTAGAAGACTAAGCATTTTAAGTAAAGTTAAAGTTTTCTGATGTTCCAACTTCTAACTTAGAAGAATAGTGCATATCTCTAGTAAATTCCTTTACCCTTTTGCACCTTGGGAAAGCCTGTACTTAGTGACTCGGGAGATACATGGTTCTGATTGCCCGGCAGGATAAAGCTATGGGCTTACGAGGTTACCCATCCACCCTTCCACTGAATCACACGAGGCTTCTTTTGTTCCTCTGTCAGGTATGTCTTCTACCTCCTGAGAGACGGCATTTACAGAGTAGATCTCCCTGTGACGTCTGGTTGGGACTCAGCAGCCAGCCGTATTGTGGAGAGCTGCACATTACAGGACTTTGTAGTAAAGCCACAGTCCAAGCGAATCATTTACTTCAATGATACCACCCGAGTCTTCATGTCAACATTTCTGGATGGCTCTGCTTCCCATTGTGTCCTGGCTCAGGTCCCCTTTGCTGATGTGAAGAGCTTTGCTTGTGAGAACAATGACTTCCTTGTCACAGATGGAAAGGCCATCTTCCAACAGGACTCTTCCTCATTTAATGAGTTCATTGTGGGATGTGACCTGAGCCACATAGAAGAATTTGGGTTTGATAACATGGTCATCTCTGGCTCCTACACGCAGCCACACCCCCTGCCAGGCTGCCTGCAGCAGCTCTCTGTGCTGTTTGGCTCCCACCAGGCCCTCGTTCAGTGGAAGCCACCTGCCCTCGCCATAGGAGCCAGTGAGTGGCCTCTCCCCAGTGTGGTTACCCACCTCCCCGGAAGGAGAGGGAAGCTCGACCTGGTGACATTGCAACTCAGTTTTGAGAACCTATATATGATTATTTAGGTATCAACCAAAAGTAATACTTAGGCCCAAAAAAGTGTCTGTACATTTGTTCTGCACCTGCTAATTTTACATTAGGAGGATCTCTGTATTTCTCAGGTATATGCCAACAGAATGGTTCAAACATTTATTGAGTGTCTACTAGGAGCCAGACACTGACATTTTAGTCTGAGTGAACGTAATAGCTAGGAGGATAGAGTGCTTAGGTTGAGATTTTGTATCCATTCAGATCTTGCATGAATGTGAGCAAGTCCCTAAAGCTCTGTGAACCTGAACTTCCATCTCTGGAGAGACAGTGTGTGTGATGGCTAAGCAGGTGGGCTCTGGAGCCAGCCTGCATGGGTTCAAAGGCTGGTCTTGCAGTTTATTAGTAGAACCACACTGGGCAAGTTAGTTAACCATTCTGTGTATCAGTTCCCACTATTGGAAAATAGGAATGTTAAGTGTATCTTTCTATGGGGTTGTCATAGAGATTAAATTAAGATGGGTAAGTAGAACACTTAAAACTGTCTAGTACAAAGGCTAGCAAACTTTCTCTAAAAAGAAACAGATAGAAATATTTTCAGTTTTGTGGGTCATATGGTCTCTGTTACAGCTATTCACTTCTGCCCTTGTAGTGTGTAAAGAGCCATAGATAATATATGAATGAGTAACTGTGGCTGTGTACAAGTACAACTTCATTTACAAAAAGAGACAGTGGGCCAGACTTGGCCTGTGGGCTGTAACTTGCCAATCCCTGGTTAGCAAACATAGCCTATTTTTAACTTTGAGACAGAAGTTAATTATGCCTGTTTGCTGTATATATGTCAAAGATGGCTGAAAATTAATAGGCCTTTTTTTTTTGTATTGTTTGGGTTTCTAGGAGGAAGGTACTTTATAAACACTAGAAATAGTGCTAGAGATTCATCATTTGGTTACACCTGGTGATGTTATTGAAAAACCTCACTGACAATTCTATGCAGCCAAGCATACAGCTTTGACTGAATAGCGTCCTCCAATTTGTTGGCAGTTATGTGTCCTTCAATGGAGCAAATGAGTAGCATGATGGAATGGACACTGTCTTAGTCATATGGTCAATACTGGAGATTAGTGGGGTAACAGGTGTAACTGCTCAATCACCCTTCCGTTCAAGATGAGGCTGTAGGTAGGTGACAACCCTTTGTTTGCTCTTGCTGATGTCATCCTGATCAGAAATATTGTTTAACTCTTCTGGTTAGGCCCTTCTGCTTGGCAAAACTGGTCTTATGAGGTGGAAGTGTCAACCCAAGACTTTCCTGAAACCACTCAAGTTTTCCCTGACATAAGTGGGACTTTGCTGAATGTACCTGAGCTGCGGACTGCTATGAAATACAAGGTTTCTGTGAGAGCAAGTTCTCCCGCGGGGCCAGGCCCCTGGTCAGAGCCCTCAGTGGGCACCACCCTAGTCCCAGGTGAGGAAGGGTTCTTGATTTGGGGACTAATTCTGTCATAAGAGACCTACTCTCTTTGTTCTTAAAAATTCCTTGCCTTCAATGTGTTGAAGAAACTAGAACAAGGGAGCATTGCTGCCTGGAGTGTGGGCTTCATGTGCATTAGGAAAGCAAATAAAGCTCTTTATGATATTTAACTTATGTTTCTAGCCTACTACTTTAAAGTTTTCAAGATATTTTTGAGGAAACAGTATTTTCTTCTTTTCCCTGGCTTTCTTCTCTATGAAGCAATAGCTCCCCTTAAACTCTGAAGGCCACGGTGAGAGAAGTTGAGGGGCTATGGACAATGCTGAATTCCATCTTGGGTGAAAGAAAATGGAAAGATAACTGTGCCATTTACAGTGCAGTTGTTATCACAGTTACTTCTGGGTGCTCTGAATGGGACCACGGCAACTGGCAGCCAACGGAGGAAAAATTCTGCCATGACCATGACATTGCTATAGAGGAGACATCACCACTATTTCTCTTCACATTCAATGTCACATATTTACATAAAAACCAGAATGTATGTTTAATATGTAGATAAGCAGATACAATTACTCATATTGTCACACAGTAAACCTTTGAAGAATGCCAGGGTTAGGGACATGAAACCCCCTGTGCAGGCCAAAAAGCTGCATACAACTTTTGGCTTCCCAAAACTTAAACTAATAGCCTGCAGTTGACTGAAGTCTTACTGATAACATAAATAGTCAATTAGTACATAATGTGTCTGTGACATGTATTATATACTGTATTCTTACAATAAAGTAGAGAAAATATTTCTTCAAACTGTTGCAAATCTCCAAAAAGTTTTCCGAAATATTTATTGAAAAAAAACCACCTGTAAGTGGACCCATGCAGTTCAAACCCATGTTGCTCAAACGTCAACTGTATTTTTCATAATGTTGATATCCTTTTACTTTATAAAGGAAATCTTAGGATATAAGATGAGTGCATTACAAAGTATGCTTTCTGTGATATTCCTTTTAATTCCCTTTTTACCAAACAGCTTTGGAACCACCATTTATCATGGCTGTGAAAGAAGATGGGCTTTGGAGTAAACCATTAAATAGCTTTGGGCTAGAAGAATTCTTATCCTCTGATATAGGAAATGTGTCAGGTAAACACCAAGTCCCTTGTTCACTTGGATGACAGGTTTCTACTCATAAGGCTTCCTAAGCTATTCAATAAATCAGAAGAGCTGAGTGTTTTGGTGTAGGTTAGTAATGAAAGGAAAATATATTAACTGAACTGTACTGCCAGTGATATGACTAAGAAAATGTCAGCTCTCAAGTAGGAATGCTATTTATTATTTTATAAAATGTGAAGTTATTTATTGATTTATGCCTATTTCAGGAAGCCTTTGATATATGTCTCATTTGTTTTAACCTATCACTGTTGTCTCATGGTAGCAGCCTATCTTGTTTCACTAAGACAGCCATACTTTGTTTTTCTGGTTTTCTAAAAAAAATTTTTTTTAATTTTGGTATCATTAATCTATAATTACATGAGGAACATTATGTTTACTAGACTCCCCCCTTCACCAAGTCCCCCCCACAAACCCCATTTCAGTCACTGTCCATCAGCATAGCAAGATGCTGTAGAATCACTACTAAGACAGCCATACTTAAGCAATTTATTAAGTTTGCCATAAGACTAAAGCAAGGAATGGCTGCATGGAGTTCTAAATAAAGTGTAAGAAAGAATTTCTTGACAAAGAGGATTATTAAGTAATGAAAGGGTGAGTTTTCCTGGCAGACATTAGAATGAAGAAAAGCCCTCATTCTAGCATGGTATAACAATGATCTTGCCTGAAGGTAATTTCTCTAACTAAGAATACTGAATCTATTTGCTTGGCTATTAAAGACACAACAGCATTTCTAACCAACACAGGAGTCAGACTTAGCAGGTGGTGATAGAATGAAGGGTGCTTTGGAGTTGGCTTGAATCTGTGAGGCCTTGAGCACAATAGATGATCTCACTGAGTCATGAGTTCACCATGTCAAGAATGGGGATAATTCCTACTTCATAACTTTGTTTTAGGAGTTAAATGAGGTATGGAAAGTGCCTGGAACAATGTTTGGCAAAGAGCAGATACTCAGTGAATATTAGTTCCTCTCACTGGTCTCTGAGGTTAAGATTTTGAGATAACAGTGTTGAAGTAATCTAGTGAATATCTATAGTAGGATGTGCTTTAAAATCACATTGAGGTATATAGGCGATTTGTTTACTCACCATGTTTATGCTGTCATCTGTGAAAAATAACTGCTACCAATTCACTTTGTTTTGAGACATGGATTGGTATAACAACAACCTCTACTACAGCGACATGAAAGGTGATGTTTATGTGTGGCTGCTGAATGGGACGGATATCTCAGAGAATTACCGCATACCCAACATTGCAGGAGCAGGGGCTTTAGCTTTTGAGTGGCTGGGTCACTTTATCTACTGGGCTGGAAAGACATATGTGGTAAGTTAAAGCTCAGCATTCTGGTTGTTCAAGCACAGAGTCCACCCACTTAGTAACTTCCATGTTTCCATACTTGTGTACTACCTAGGCTATTATTTATTTAATCTGTGCCTCCTAACCCACTCACTTTTTAATTAGAATGCATTTATGTGCAAAGGAAATTTTATATCACTATTTGGTGTACTAGTTATATATTTTCAATAATACCTTAGAATAAATATATTAAAATGTTCACCTGTGGGTCAGTGTCCCGGAGGACAGTGGCACACTCCAAAGTCGTGATTAAAGGAAACCAAACAAAGGAACTGTTTTCAGAGGTGTGGACAGGGCGAAGGAAAACTAGCAATGGATGGTGAAGCATGCCCTGGGCTTGCAAGTGTGGGAGGATATACCACTTCCAGGGGTAAAGGGGGTTGGGGGAAAGAAGGACCTGTGAAGGGTGAAACCACAGGAGTTGTGGACATGACACACAGCCACTGCCAAATGTATGGTCTGACAAGGAGCGATCTGGGGGAATAAGTACTCCATTCCCTCTTTCCTTGTGCCTTCCAGTTTTCTGCCTATGCTTCCATTGGTTGAACCTCTCTGGAAGCCAGGGAACAGGGAGTCCAGTGGATGCAGTCTATAGATGTCAGCTTCCGGGGTCACAGAGTACAGGGTTGAGAGGGTGCAGAGTGGGTCTGGATGCAAAATGAAAACATCCTGCACGTTGGTGGAGTGGTACACTTTTAAGAGAAGGATGGTTAATGATGAGAACACTGGTTTGACAGATCAAGAAATATGGTACTGAAATCATTTTCTGATCAGGATAGCACTTGTTGTCCATTCATTTATTCACTCAGTAATCATTTGTCTTTACCGATGTGCTGAGAACCTTGAGGACAGGCATAGTAGGGAATATAGAGTAAATAGTAGATACAAATCTGCTATTCCTAGAAAAACATCAGCTATTCACATACAAAAAAATGCATCCTTTTATTGTGTAAAATGCACTGGTTTTTATTATGTTCAGTGTTGTGCAACCATCTCCCCTTGTCCCTGCTCTTTTGATGAGATAAAATACATATACAAAATAATAGAAGATGCATGCAAAGCAATGTGTTTACAGGTAAAGCAATGTTGTATAGTCTGAAATCATAAGTGCCAATGATATGCAGGTAGAATGGAGTTGAGTATTAATCAGAGAACACTTTCTAAATCAGGGTAGTTTAAAAACAATTTTTAAGGAGGATGTGAAAGACATAAAAATTGGTTTCAAGTATTTGCTCTATCTCTTATGAAACTATTTAACTCCAGGAAATATTATTTAACTTCCTTGAACTCAATTTACTTGTGAAAAAGTAGGTTATAGAAATCCTTCATACTGTTAGGGTTACAAGAGCTAATATTATAAAAAATTAAAAGAGCCTGACATATAATAGCTACTCAATAATGTCAGTAATTAATATTTGGGCAACACACTGATAGAGGGGAGCAAGGAGAGGTGTCATCATTTATCAGGATATACACATCTTCAGGGGTTCAATCAAACACATTCTTATCTAGAAGTGTTTCAATTCTCTGGGTGTATGGTTAGGAAGTGTAAGTATTTTAATTCAAAATGAATTGACTGCCCTTCCCTTTAGAGACAGCAAAAGAAGTAAGCTCAATTGGTGTCAGTGCCATGACTGTCTGTCATGTTTCCAGGACTTTGCATGCTACCCAGCACTTAATGCTAAGAAATATTTGTGGTGGAATGAATGATGAATGTTGCAAATTACTAATTGCAATAAATTATTCAGAAATAATGATCTCACTTGAAAAATCATTAACCAGCCGTACACTCATGTTTTGTAGATACAAAGGCAGTCTGTATTGACAGGACACACAGACATTGTGACTCATGTGAAGCTGTTGGTGAATGACATGGTGGTGGATTCAGTTGGAGGATATCTCTATTGGACCACATTATACTCAGTTGAAAGCACCACGCTAAATGGGGAAAGTTCCCTTGTACTACAGGCACAGCCTTGGTTTTCTGGGAAAAAGGTGATAAATCAAAAATAAGATCTGATCATTTAATAATACTAACTCATGCTATTGTATCCATAGGACAATACTGTTTCTGCTTATTGTGAGTAAAGTAGAATCTGAAAGGAAGTCCTGTTAGCAGTAAGATCTTGATATAACCAAAATTTCTCTAAGTCTTACTTGATTATCATAACTGATTAAATAAAACAAAATAAAGTATGGAGATTTTTGTAGTTTTCTTTATCTTGAATGAACCCATGCTTAAATGCATTTTAATTTCTTACTTTTCTTTATTGTCTTTGGGAATTCTACTGGATATTTTAGAGCTTCCTGTTGGACAATGACAATAAAAATTATTTTATTATTTGCAATCAATTTTGGGTACTGCATGCTCTAAAAATGATGTGACCCCCCTGGGCAAATTACTTGACTTCTCTATGTCTGTTTCTTTATCTGAAAATGGGTCTATTAATACTTGTCCTACTTCTTAGGGTTGCTGTTAAGATTAACTGAGATAATACATAGGAAGTACTTAGAATAGTTTCAGGCACCTGGGAACTGTTCAGTAGTTAAGCTCTTATTATTGTAAATGAGCCTGAAAAATCCACCTGACATAGGAATTTTCTAAAACTAATGTAAGTATTACTTCCTCAAATTCTGGAAGCAATATCTATTTTTCTCGATCCTGTTTAGTTAACCTCTTGCTATCTCATTTCTGAATTTTGTTTTTTCTGATCATATATACATCTAGGAAACTTAGAAATTATGGAAAAGCATGAAGAAGGAATAAATCATTCATACTATTTTTCTACTTAGGGTATTCTTTAAATTTTTTCTTTTTTTTTTGAGAGGGCATCTATCATATTTATTGATCAAATGGTTGTTAACAACAATAAAATTCTGTAGAGGGGGATCAATGCTCAATGCACAATCATTAATCCACCCCAAGCCTAATTCTCGTCAGTCTCCAATCTTCTGAAGCATAATGAACAAGTTCTTACATGGTGAACAAATTCTTACATAGTGAATAAGTTTTTACATGGTGAACAGTACAAGAGCAGTCATCACAGAAACTTTCAGTTTTGATCACGCATTATGAACTATAAACTATCAGGTCAAATATGAATATTCGTTTGATTTTTATACTTGATTTATATGTGGATTCCACATTTCTCCCTTATTATTATTTTAAATAAAATGCTGAAGTGGTAGGTAGATGCAAGATAAAGGTAGAAAACATAGTTTAGTGTTGTAAGAGAGCAAATGTAGATGATCAGGTGTGTGCCTGTAGACTAAGTGCTAAT